ATTCCTGCTTTTAACAGTAATGGGAAGACTTGTGAGCAGGATAAATCAGAACCAGAAATTGAAAGGACAAGCCTACCGTATCTCTGGTTCGCCATTTATTCCACACTTGAAAATTTCAGAGACTCATCTAACGTATGTTCACCCTACACAATTACTCTTCCTACAGCACCATCTAAGACTCCCAAAATGCTTACACCACCCCACCCCCCTTCCCCCTCATTTTTTACTTTCTCTGCAGATATCCAGTTAGACTGTAGGGGCTTCTACATACAGAGAGCAAAAAATTCAGGCACACCATGAACGTTTTCAGTTCTTAAATTCCCTATTTCTCTGTAGTGGCTCTTCAAACTTGTAAAAGAAACTTAAAAGTTTGAAGTCTGTAAGATACCATACCCCAAGGACTAGTTGGGGGAAAACCAAATAAATCTATAAAGGTGTTAATTTTGATAGCTTCCTTTACCTTGACTGCTCCGGTCATAGACAGATCCTGGAATAATAGCCTCACGTGCATCGTACATGGCAGTAGTCATGAACCGGGCACCCTGGAAGCATTATAGGAGTTAGACAAAGCCTTTGCATAGAAAACTCTGCACTGCAACTTCAGTGTAAGTTATTTTGGGTAAAAAACCCAGTTAAACTCCACAGGTAATGCATAATCTACAAGTGCTGAGGAAACTAACTGGCTCTGATACACGGAAAACATCCAACTATCATTTCAACTACATCATGCTAGCAAGAAAAAAAAAAAAAAGATCCTACAGGCAGCCTATCTCAAACTGTGAAACCCCTGATGAATTTTCAGTCTATTTTGAGGTTCTGATGAGGTTCCCTTGCTCTATTCCTACCATTGTCCTGTGACAGCTGATAAGCCCCCCCCCCCAGTGACTACTTATATTAAAGGATAAGTATAAAACTTGCAGGTTGAGGATGAAGTACAATGCTATTAAGTACACACGCCTAACGAGCTTGCCATTTCTACAGAAAAGTTACTTTATGTTTCATTCACCTCAGAAGTTACCCCCTCATAAAATTTTGCAGTAAATAGCAATAAAAAAAAAGCACCAAAAAGGCTTTTCCACTCAACTTAGAAACAGCTGAAGCAGCACCTTACTGGGGTCACACTGCATTAACTAGGGATCAGAAATGGAAAGTGATGGGTGTGTGAGGCTATGTGGGTGACTGCTTATTCCATCCATTTATAATTGATCAATCAACCCCCAGTTGCTCCATGGCACAAACATCTGAGAGACAGGAAAGGTCAGCTTACTGGGTTGATGGTATTGACAAGTTTCCGGGGCTTGCTGAACTGCATAAGGCTTTCCCGGAGGTTATTCAGTGGTCCCTCCACCAGAACCTTCTGCTCCTTGTAGTAATTCAGCAGGTGATTCCAAAGGGGTTGTTTAGACAGCGCTTTTGGGTTCCCAACAATAATTACTCCATACCTGTACAACAGCAGACAAACAGGAAAACTAAAATTAACTAACTAAAACCAAAGCCATGTTACATATTAACATCAGAACAGCCTCAAAGTCAATCTCCTTTGCAGTAAATTCAGGCACCTAACAAAAGCCCAGGACAGTAGGCGTAGGAGACCCTGACTCAATTGTTTTGTTTACAGCAGATGATTTCTGTAGTATGACAAAACACTTAAAAGGAGATTGCTGCAGCCAGTTTCTCAATAATCGCAAGCTTCCTTTTGCAGGCTTGCCAAACATGTCAGTGTGCTCAGCCAACCACACTGTTTTGGTTTAAAGCTTGCAGAAACCAAGGAAGCCAACCAACATGGTATTGACTCCACATTACCCTTCTCAGTAATCAAATCCATTTTAAGAGACGCAAAATGGTAAAGAAAATGGTTGCTGGAAGGGATAAAGCAGCAGATGAAAGGAAGAGTTCTGTCCTGCAGACAAAGGGGAACGACATGGTGGCTTCTGCAAACTGCTGATGCCAAACAGTAACACTGATTAGGTGGAGAGCGCTCTTGTAAGTTGTAGGGAATGTTGAAATCACTCAAGGCTCCTTTAAACCGGGTGGGGAATGGGCCTGCTACCCACAACACACAGACCTTCTGTTAGTCGGACTGTATCGATGCTTTAGCAGAGCGAATCAGGTCTCTAGAATAGATAAAAATTTGCCCAATATTACTTCACCTTGCTCTTGTAAGAGCTACATTAAGACGCCTGGGGTCATTCAGAAACCCTATTCCTTGGTGTTCGTTGGCCCTCACACAAGAAAGGATAATAAAGTCCTTCTCTCGTCCCTGGAAGGCATCCACACTTGCAATTTCCACTTCCTGAAACAGAGGAAAACACGTAAATCACGGAAGCACAGCGCAAAACAGTTATGCTACCAACAGGCATTACAAAATGCGTTGGCCATGCACTAGCAGTTCCCATCATTTGACAAAAATGTTATTTTTGTAATGACGAATGATTTAATAGTTCCACTGGTCACTAAATAGTTTCCCTAAAGGAGAACACACAGTCTCAGTTTAGGACAGATTACTTTTATGTTCACTGCTTTATGGTTCTCACATTTCCCCAAAACTGGCATTTGCACTATGGAAAGCATCCCTTTTCTAGGTATGTTGCCAAAAAGACTTCTGGCTATTCCAAAACCTCGTAGTGAGACAGCTCCAAATTAGCACTGCTGCTCCCAGCTACCAAGAAACCTGAATCAGAGGGACAGATCATTCCTGGCAGAAGTAAAAGTATTTCCACCAAGCTTTCCTTCAGTGAAAACACTGACCAAGTTCTCAATATTGCAAAACAGACTACATTAAACATACAACCGCCTTGTTTGTAGCAACAAATTTTAATGTTTGGTAGAGGAGTTCCACGGATGGCCGGGAATAGTCCCAAGCAAATAAATAGTATGACCATCAGAATTTATGGAGCTTGGTTTCCTGCATGTCTCTTGGCTTGATGCTTTTATCTAAGACACAAGCTGAGTGAAGCTTTTCCACAGCTGAGGCACTAATGACCTCTCCCTTCTGTGCCTCAATGAGTCCTCAGAGGACGGACTCACTGAAGCCTTCCTGTCAACAGAGACCTTAACAGGGCTTTCTCCTTCATCTGGCCAACTGCTCCCCTGACGCTTACTGGCATTTGCTACCTCCTAAACTCTCCTCCCTGGTCTATTTTAACTGCAATTAAATAAAGCACTCTAAAATTACTAAAGAATAAACACAGACTGACGCCTAAGAAGCCAGGCTAAAACCGAAAATAATGTGAAGTTTCACAATATCTGACTTTTCTAGCTTCTCTGCATCCCAGGTGTTCTCGTTTGTGCAATGACTCCGTACCTGGTAGAGCTTTGTATGCAAGGAACCACTGAATTGCATGTACTGCACCAGATAGGATCGTTGACCTTCGTAAGGAGTAATAATGCCAATCTGATCTGGTTTGGCACCAGCTTTCAATAGCTTTGTAGTTATCTTCTCCACATTGGCAGCTTCCGTCCTAGAAAGAGAGAGCTGTTTATCTAAGGAGAATCAAGGCATTAGGCCTAACTTTTTGCAAGGCAATGGGTCTAAAAAACTTGAACATATATGCTGCGCTAGCCTTTTGTCAGAAAGTCTACTTCAAGAAAGAGATCAATTTTACGCTGCATAGCTCAAGCACTCTAATAAATTTGGCTTAAGCTGTGCAGGAACGTTCACCACTATCCCCTCTTGACTTTGGCCACGCATAGATATTCTCAGCCAGAGGAACACGGGCAAAAGCCAACACCTCAAAAAAAGGTCTCAGAATGACACAGAAATTTCTCCTTAATATACACCTCCACCTTCTCAGAACTACACGACTGCACTTCCTGGAATAGCCAAATTAATGGTGGCCATCATTCTGAAATGGAACTTCTTAGCAGAGTTAAATGTACACATGTACTTTGAGTGAGATAATTAAAAATGTTCCAGCCTGCTGTGCAAACAGATCCTTCAGTTGCTTTATCTTAAAGTTTTAAATATAGAATGTTTTTAATGCCAATCTCCCTGTCAGCCAACTATTGTGCCATTTGTTTGTGCGCAATCTGGCTTGCCGCATTCGGCAGTCTTGCACATGCTGTTCATGAAACAGACCAACATTAAAAATATCACAGCAGATATTTTTCATAAGTTGGTCTGGTTTCCCTTCCAGGCACATGAACAAATGCATATGACCAAGAGGAGCAAAACGTTTCAAGCTCACTCTTTGAAAAAGAAAATGAAATTCCCATCCCTTTCGCACCCCTGCCAAAATCTAAAACTTAGGACTCTGCTTTAGGAGCTACTGGAATTTTGGCTTCAAAATGGGACTTGATCAGCACTTCCTGCTGCAACTGCAGTCAGTTTACTTGCTGGCCCAAATTCATCCCACATACTAGGCACTTAAATTGTCCCATGCTCCTTACGCTACCAGTGAAGGAAAGCATGCACCTCCACAGAACAATTCAAACCCACTTAAGACCTGAACTGCTCCCACCGGAGATGCCTTTTTCTCTTCGTTTACTGTAAAGGAAGCCTGGGGCAAATCAACTCCAAAATGCGGCTCGGCCTGCGCTATCCTTGAGGGCAACTTTTATTAAAAAAAGCACACAAGCAATTTCAATCATAGCTGTTAATAGGAAACAGCATTTTATTAATTTAGAAGAGTACTGCAGAACATAAGAATCAATAGCACTGAAGTACTGTATCCCAGCGCACAATCCATTTGAGGTCTGTGGGTTGGCTCATTTGAAGTACAGATACCACCTTCACAGAAGCAGAAAGTAACTCTTTTTCGAAAACACAAGCCTTTATTTAGCTGTTATGCCTTTATTCACATCGCAAGGCAAGCGATGGCGAATACAGAATGCTATGAATTTTGTTGCAGAGATTCCGAAGGATAGAGAAACGCTTAGCTATTTGGTTTGCGGCAGGAACCGTATATTGCACTTTCCCTTGACTCCATTACCTGTGACTGTCTCCAAGGGATGTCACAGGATTATTAACAGATTCACTTAATCTCCCTTACATTTGAGATACTTAAAAATACTTCATCCCAGTGTAAGTTTATATATCTCAGTGTTGAATTTGGCTTACCTGTTCAAGTAAGAAGTGCCCGAGCTGGCAATTTCTTCCTGTCCTTGTGTAACATAGAAAAACATTGGCTTATCTGGCTGTGGCCACTGGAAATCAAACCCCTTTTTCACACGGTCGGCTGAAAAGCACAAAAACAGTAAGTAAAAAAAGTCAGCACTGCTTTACTAGCAAGAACGCTCATTTTCATATCAAAGCACCTTAAAGACTCAAAACTGTAAGTGCCATGGCAATTCTCTTTTTAAGCCAATGTATTAAAAAACTCATTTAGATTAAAGAATCCTTCCTTTGATCCTTAATGAATGAAAAGTAATTTGCAGAAGTACTATTCTTGCTTACCTGCAGTAACACCATTCTGGAGCGAACCCTCATAGAAGATATTGGATGGAAAAGCACTGAGTGCGGGATGCATGCGATACTGCACTTGCAGGCGGATCGGACGAATCCCCAGCACCACAAGCCTCTCAAAGAGAGACTGAGATAGGCCAGCCTTTGCAGCTTTTTTACACATCACAACAGGACCAAGCTGGCAGTGGTCACCTACAAGAATAAGCTGTGGAAAAGAAAGTTTGATCTCAGTTGGTATTTTCTGAAACTTGCCCAACAGCTAGAAACCACAGCAATATCCTACTGTGAAACACATTTGGAACTAATCAGTCTGATTTGTAATAAGCTTCAGATCTAAGGCTTATAAACCTTTAGTGTCAACTAGCTGTTCAGCTGATCATTTTCAAATAAAATCTTATTCAGTCTCCAGATTGCTCCAACAAGACCAACATGTTCTAGGCAAAGATTATGCCATGGAAACAGAAAGCTAACAGGACTAACACAAAATAAAGTCATTTAGATCTATATTATGGAATTGTCTTCCATGAAAGGAAAGGATTTTTGTGCCTACACTGTGAACGTTACTGCTTGATGCTACTTCCTCTATTTATAAACTGTTTTCTTTAATGAAATCCAATGGTTCCTACCTGCTTTGCTCCCAGGACAACTGGCACCATGCACTCTGGCTCAGTAGCCTGCGTGCTTTCATCGATCAGAATGGAGCGGAACTGCATTTTTGCAAGTCTTGGATCACCAGCTCCCACACACGTGCAACAGATCACATCTGCATTCTGAGACAGAAACACAACTGAAATTAATCAAGTAGGATATCAATGGACAATATTTCTACATGGAAGAGTATTCAATACCATTCCAGGAATCCCCCCCGAAGTTAAATTGTACTCTGATCTCCACCAGCAAGTTGCAACTATGCCTCAAGTGGCAGAAAGCAGTTATTTAAGCTGCTAGAACTGATGGAACCTCACCATAAGTAATTCACGCTCTGCTGTTCGTTTCAGTGCACGGTAACGTTTCTCATCAGCAGATGACAGTTCTCCGGTTTCATCTTTAAGCTGCTGCAGTTTCTGAAGCTCTGGCATGCTGCAAAAAAAGGAATTTTGCTTTACAGCCTAATTTAACAACGTGGCAGGATTACAGTGGAACTCATTTGTAAAAGTAAATATGGTACGTATACAAACAAAAAAGTTACCACATCAAGCAAATACATGTTGTCATCATTACACAGTTCATCAGTTGTGTCCATCACAACACTTAAGTCGTGGGTTTGGGTTTTTTTTGTTCCCCTGCCCCCCTCAACCATTTCTTACCTATCCATGTTTCTGATCTGGTTATGCAATGCCAAGAAGGACACAGGAGAGTCAATTGCCTCACGACTTTTAGCACACAGACGAACCACTTTCAGTCCAGTTTGATGGATCTTCTCAGTCAACTGATCTACAGCTATATTACTTGGAGCACAGACTAACACAGGCCTTGAAAAAAAAAAATTAAGCAAAAAGTAAGTCTCAATGAGCTGTAAGCTTTTTTCCGCTAGACTTGTAATAAAATCATGTGTTAGGACACACATCCCCTAAAAATCTGCTGGGGAAGAATATTTTCTGAAATAAGCACAAGTCTTCCCAGAAAAATATACTTCTAGAAAAGCTCTAGTTCAATGATACAAGTTATTTTAATTTTTAAAATCAAGTTGATTCTTCGACTATTAATAAAGTAACCTCATACATAAATATCTAGAGAGAATAGTTCTTACCCATTGCCCTGTCTAGCCAGATGATAGACGATTGTGGCTGATGTCACTGTTTTTCCAGTACCAGGGGGACCCTGAATAAGGCTCAGAGGACGCTGCAGGACAGTCTTCACAGCATAAACCTATAAAAAAAAAAATTTTTATTGCTATTTAGCATTCAATGGGCAGGAAGTTAGAAAGTTGTTCAACCTCTATTCATAAATCCTTTATCATATTCTTCGCGTGTAGTAAAAAGGAGATGAGGTTACCTGAGAATGGTTGAGATCAGGAAGTCCTTGTGCTGTAAAGCGCTTTGGCAACTGGCATTTAATAATTACATCTTCTACCTCATGACCTAATAGTTTGTGATAGATGTACCCAGACACTGAAGTCTCATCCACAGCAAATGTTTTTAAAGCACTCTGCATTCTGAGATGAGGGAAGGACAGAAAAAAAAAAAATCAGTGTGACCTCAAATACAACTATGCACAAGTGTCCTAACACAAGGGTTAATCAGGCATCAGGCACAAATTAAAATATACCTGGGGAAAAGAGAACAACGTAGAACACTTACTAACAGAGTTAAGAGACAAAAACTAAGACTCTGCGAACACAGATCTTGTTTTTCCCCATGTGAGTACTACAAAGTATTATAACCAGAAAAATCTGTAGAGAAACACCAGCCTTTGACAGAATCTGCAATAGTAATTTTAGGTGCAGGATCTGAAGAAGATTTATACTCAGTACATCTCTCTTTCAGGACAACAAACAAACTCCTGTCTTACAAAATGCAGTACAGACTTGTCTGAAGCCTACTGACCCCGCAGCCAATTCAAATGCCTTAAAATTTCAACTAGTTAACGCAATTCGAAGTTTAGGAAGCTAAAATCAGAAAGCACTTCATGACAGAGCAGTGTTCAGGAAGCTGAACTACAGAACAGTTTTTCTTCTTACATACCAAGTATTACTAAACGTAAGGTAAATTTCCCCTCCTGATATATTTGCAACAAACCTTAAGCATGCCTCCAAAATGAGAAAAATTGACAGTTTGATGGCATTTAGATTAATTCCATTTCTAGTAAAAGTTAGGCCTGTTGCTCTTATGAACCAGATATCATGTGTTCAGACTTGATGCATTGGGCATACTCAGATTTCTGATCGCTAGCGTCACAAACCAATACAACTTTTGTCATTCAAGAATTCCCACTGAAGGTAAAGGAAAATATACACACCAACTGCACCCATTATCTGCCAAGTTTTGAAATGCTTTCTCAATACCTGTCAAACGAAGTAGACTTCCACACAAAATCCACTTGGAAGTTATGAGTAACTTCCACAGGCGCTCCAACGCTGCTCCTCAGCTCAATGGCTATCTCATCACCATAATCTGTAGAACCTCGTTAAGTAGTAATCTATAGCAAAAATTTGAATTTTATTTTTCCCAATTTTGATTTTTTTAGCAGATCCCCATGACAAATTAAAATGATCTCAAAATTATTTATACGCATTTACTGATTTCTCAGAGAGATTTCAACCTTCAATTAAGCCTTCCTGAAGGCTCACTAAGTAAAGGATACTATCAGGAACTTTGATAACATGACCAATTCCCTTCCACAAAGGGGCCAGGTCTCCTTTATACCTCAAGCAGATCTCATCTCCTTGCATAAGACGCATATCTACAAAGGAAGGAAAAAATGCTCGCAGAATATTCACCGATGAACAACCATCCCCCAACACAAAAAACTTACAGCACTATCTTATATCCCAGGCCAGATCAACACAGGTCTTTAAACACCGATGTTATTCACCAGGCATAAAAACCCCAGACAACACACACAATCAAGCTGTCATTACCTGAATCAGTCTTTGGCAAAGTGAAATAAGCAATTCGTTTCTTGTTCAAGCCCAGGTCCCATCTGACCGTGATGTTATCTTGGGTCTAATGGTAAAGAAAAGGCATCCATTATGTTCTTAAAGAGCTGTTTGCCAACTACCACAGTCCTCAGCGTCCTATGCTTCAAAATAGTAGAGAAGTACAAAACTTGCTGTTCCAGTGTCACAGTATAGACAAATATCTGTATTTATTCTTATGGACTGAGTTCACACCATCTGCAGAAGATAATTCTGGTCTACAAAAGCATTACTTAATGAGAAACAGTCCTCATCACCATCTGCATTATTCTCTCCCCTCACCTTTAGAACATCCACTAAGTGCTTCCATTACCTCATAAAATTCAAGTTTGACTGGAAACTCTGACTAAGGTAACTTCAGGTTATGAGGACAACACAAGAGAAGGTGGCCAAGTTGCCACAGTTCTATGATATAATATGGTACTCGGAAAGATAAACTTTGAACACAGAAAAGAGGGAAGTTCAAGTGTTTCAAGCTCTTTTTTAAAACCTCAGTTTGAGGATTTTTCTTTCCTCTCCCTTTTATCATACATCACCATTACTACTGTAATTACCGTGACGTAATAGTACCGTAACAGACATTTATTTCACTTGAGCCTTCCTTCTATGCTGTTACCAGTGACCATGTGTTTGATACCAGAGAACTGGTCAGAAGCCCTCTCAGACAGACGTATTTCAAGCACGTTACCTGAGACTCCTTGAGTTTCTTGTCATAATCTGCCTCAAGCTTGACTAGAGGACCAAATATATTTTGGTATTGATAAGCATCTTCATATCTAAGCAGGACATGCTGTGGTTCTTCATCAACACCAGGCTTTTCTAAGTCCTCAAGGGTTGCAGATGGATTTTCCTAGAATTTAAAGCACAAATGTTGTGTTTCAAAGTTTTAAGTACAAACAAGTGACAAGCTCTCACTGTGCAACAGGACTGATAGTACTGCGGAAGTTATATCAAGGTATAATAACCTGTTAAAACTACCCCAAGACATTATATGTCATGCTCGCTCACATCCAATCAGGTTTGTTATGCGTTAAAGGACGTACAGAAAAACCTCTCAAAAAGCAGTAACTGAATACCCAGCGTGGACTAACAGCTCCCTACTCAGCAAGTCAGCACGTAAAGCAGAAACAAGCGGCAGACTTGATAGGGGGAAGGAAAGTTGTTTTTTTAGATTGCCTGACAGTGCAACTCAAAACAGAGCTGAAGAACCTAAGGGGGAAACCTTCCTACTTTGATAAATGATGTCCTGAATCCTTTGATCAATTCCCAGTTGCATCGCTTGTCAAATCTGCAAGATTTAAACCTCATGTGATTTAAATATGTTCCCTGCCTTATATAGTTGCTAAAACAATCTTGTCCCTCCTTCATAAAAACACAAAATTAGCACTTGGTAAAGTACAACCAGTATTTGAAAAGCAGCACATACCTTCCAAAGTTCTTCCAGTTTGTTAATCTGTTGAGCTGTAATCTGACGTGCTCTCAACTGTTCCTGTTCAGATGGAATCTTTACCAGCCATGAAAGGAAACAGCGATCTTGGATAAGAGGCTGCCACTGTGAACTGTCCCAATTAATATCCTTTAAACTGCTCTGGCTGGCACATGGCTGCCTGCACAACCAAAATATTGAAAAAATTATTAAATTAGACAAGTGTAAGAAAAAGTCTATCGTGTGAAGTGTACTAATAGGTTTATCATGCTCTTAGAACAACTCAAGTATCTCACTTAAAAGGGAAAAACAAAACCACCTCAGCCTGCTGGGCCAATTCATTTTTTAGTTCCTGTATTTGCTATTTCAACCCCAGGAAGGCTAGGTATCGTAAGCAGTATTTCTTTGGTGTTTCCAGAACTGAAAATTTCAGCATCTAAAATATTAAATGACACTCACCTTTGAAAGTGGTTACAGTCCATTAGATTACGCACACATATATATCAGAAAACACTCAGGATTACTTCCCATCTGTTGTTTAAACAAATAGGAAAACTCATTCTGTAGAAACACACCTTCTACTGTCAAATACGTGGTAAGTGACAGCGTTTAATAAAAATATATACAATTATAAAATCGTGATTTCTGACAGAACTTCATCAGAGAACAATTTCCAATTTACTGTCGTCTTCAAATGATTCTACAAGCTGACAGAAAAACATACTGTGTAATAGACTCACTACTGCAGTAGGGCTCCAGAGTAACTTCCTTAACTGATGCGTTATTCTTCCACATCTGAAAATCACAGTTTAACAAAGGGGAAAAACACCTTTCTTCCATTAAGTACCACTTCATTTGGAGAAATACTTTTCTATAGACCTAAGGCATTTACCTAGCATAACAGAATGTTTCTTTATTGCATTATCTACTTCTTTACAATTCAAAAAGTCTATATGATCATTTAAAGGAAAAACAGTGGCAAATCAGAGTATAAAATAGATTTTGGAACAAAATGAAAGCAAGCATTGCCCTTTACAAATAAGGCTATGCAATAGACTCGACACAAACATGCCAACAAAGGCATTCTCTCACCTGCACAGCAAAACCACCACAGAGTCTGCCTTAGCTGGAATAAAGCCAAGGAGAAACACATTACGACATCCGCAGTTATAACATTCCAAGACAGTCTCTCCTAGAGGTCCATCTTTATGGAGAGTCACCTCTTTGCACTTCGCTCTCACAAGATGATTAACAATGTGGCTGAAACCAGAGAGGACATACATTTGTATGACGTTAATAGGAAAATCAGATTTAGTCCTAACTTAATATATCAGCTCACTTATTAAAAGACACAAATAAAATCTATTTATGCTGTGGCAGACATCGGTAAGATCTTGCTCTTTTCATCCAAGCAAAGATACTGCTAACACACTTTGAATGGTTTCTGAGTGCGTGAACGCTTTAAGGTAGATGAGTGCAAAAGAATAGGAAACATGTAAAAAATTCTTTTTATGTTACTGGTAATTGAAAGAAGCCTCCCGAAGCTCCACAGGTAAAGAGCATCAGTTCTACTGTGCTGTGCAGGAACACAGGATGGGGGAAGAAGCAGCAAGCTCACTTCACAAAAGTGATTCAAGTTTTGCTGAGATCAAGGTCTAAGCGGGCAACAGTGGAAAAGCCAAAGAGGAGGTTGGAGGCTCACATTTAAGTCACTAGACTTCGATGATCACCAAAATGTAAGTCACAGACATCATACCACTTCAAAACAAACATGCTCTAAACCAAGATTGTCATTATTATTTCCATCATTTGACTGTTTACCTGCCAGATGTATTTCCGCGCCCATTACAGAACCACTTTTTGCTGGTGTTACAGTAAACCACACAAGCAGGGTCATGGATACCACAGTAACTGGAATTAAAAATGAAAAAAACAGGAAGTGATTGGGTATTTGCTTATAAGAAAATTCAAATACAAGATTTAAACAACCTAGTAGTGCACAAAAATAAGGGGAAGTGAAAGTTAGGGAACACGAGTGTTGGTGAAAGTATCAAACACAAGCTAAACTTCTGTTTGGAGTCACAAGTATTTGAACTCTTCCCACCATTACCACCCCTCGGCTGGCTGAGCCTTCTATTCCTCGAGGAAGATCAAAGACCTACTGGCCATGGCAGCTCTAAGCGTACACAAGAGCTCACCAGAGGGCACCATCTTCCTACCAGTACGTGGCTGTCTCCAAGGAAGCTGCTCTCAAATTCTAAAAATCCTCTAAGCATACACCTTTCACTCACACAAAGTGCTCCTGCCCTCTGGAAATAATAAGCCTGGGGCAAAGGTTAGGCCTTACCTGCAAGCATGCACAGGAAGATCCTTTGTGTAATAGGTATCTTCTTCATCTTCTTCAAAATTCAATTCTGCCAGAAGCTGGCTGGTTTTAGCCACGTTATCATCCACAGCTCCATTCTGTAGAATGCCATCAGGTCCATTAACCTGAAATACAAGCTCAGTGATTAAGTTATACAATCAAAACAGACTCCAAAACATAAAGCCAAGGACAGTAACCCCTACTCCTCAAAGCAAAAAGTTGTGTTTGATTTAAAAAAACCCAAAAGGAAAGAAAAATACTGGGAAGAGCTGAAAAAAATAGCAGTTTTATATATTTATATATATATATTTTATATATATATATATATATATTCCGACTTCATTAGCTCCTATTTTACAGGATTATTTAAAATCCAACTGAATAGAAAAAAGTCAACAAAAGGAGACTGCTTTCCTGCAGATTACATTTTTCCATACAGTCTTACACAACACACAAAATTCCATTTAAACAATTCCAGCAGTATCAAACATTGTTTTTTCATCCCTCATTCTACTCCAGGAATCTACCTGAAAACAGGATCTTTACTGTATAGGACTTTCCCCACCTATTTCTGCTGTTCTCTATTCACCAAATCAGAAGCACAACTTCATGACACTTGGACAATAGAGACCAGGTAATCAACAAACCTGTTCTCATATGAACCTAATTAAAAATAACGTATGAATAGTGCAAGAAAGAAAAGAAACTGGTTTTCAGCAGAGTGGCTAACTCTCCGGGCAGTACCACTTGTTCAAGATATACTAACCATATTACGTACTGAATCAAACAAATATACTTGCAAAATACATCAGGTATGACAGGCACTGTTGTGGTACTTTCATTTTATTTCAGCTACAACACGATTTCGTTTAAAAAACAAGGCCTCTCCAAGTTATCCAAGAGAACTGCAAAAGTCCATCAAAACTAGTAACGCAGCTCAAGTTTTCAGAGCAACACACTTCAGAGATCGTGTGCTAACGCAGCACATACAAACCAGGTGTGCTCTCTTTCCACTGAGGATACACTGCCAGAACCATGAAGTTCTGCAACATTTGGTGCTGTGTCAGCAACTTTTACACACCAAGTGTTTCTCACGTTAAAAATAACTCCTTTTTGGCAATACTGAGTCCAGTGCGTTTACCACCAGGAAGGAGCATCAAGAAACATGAATGTCACAAATTAGATTTCAGCATGGCTAGAGCAGCCATTGCCCCTTGGGCCTCACAGGTGTTCTGGTTTAATTCCACAGCTGCATCCCTACAGACTAACAGCCATGGGGAGCTTCAGCACCTCAATACGGTGCTGTCAAGAAGTCCCAGGATGTCTAGATCCCCACACACCCCAGAGCTTTGTTCACTCAATCACTTGATTCTTTGACTTGTTTAGCCAAGATCTCACTAAAACCTGAGAAGAGATAAGCATACCATAATCCACGTTAATGTGGAGTGGAAAAAGGTGAGGAAGGGACCACCACAGTGACTGCAATGATGAGCACAATATTAACAAAACATTTGAGATGAGTGCTGTGAGGCAGTTTCCCTATCACAGCAAAATCATCAGATGTATTAACCCCCCCCAACTGTTTTTAAAGGTATTGGGTTAGACAAGATGAGATTTATTTCTGAAAATTTTAACTAGCTAATAAATGGGAGCATAAGAGTCACTCGAGGCCTTTGTCTATCAATATAGTATTTTAGTAACTCTTTTGCACTTAGACATTTAATGCAATTTATCTGGTATCTGTAACTTAATTCTCTGACAAGAGATGAGAAAGCTGTCCACAGTGGGAAGAATGTTAAACCTTTATTAAAAGAAATTTGATTAAAATAGTTGCTGTAGCATTTTAAAGCTCTAACTCATAAGCAAATCAAAACAAGCTTACTTCTCCGAAAGTCTCATTTAGATTCCATGCCAGCTAGTTTCAGTATTGCACATTAAATTTTAACAGCCAATTGCAAACATTAAATTTAAAAATAAGTCTAAGCCACTTCACATTTCCCCTTAGCAGGAAGGTACTGGACTCAATGACACAAGCTTTGTTTCATTATCTTCAAATGAAATGAGGTGCATTTGCAAAACACCACCTAAGTGGTATGGCTTTTTATTGATGTTACCTCCAAGTACCGGCTTTTAATAGAAAGAATCAGCCAAGAGAAACTGTCGGCATAGAATGTGCAGAAGTAGTAGAGGGAAAAAGGAAAAAACCAAAAGAAACTGCAGCAGCATGCAACAGCCCATTAGTATGATGAACCCAAATCCGATCAGCTCACTGTGTAATAGCATCTCCACAGATGTTTGAAGATAAATATCCATTTTAGATAGATAGCGCCACTTTACAAAATATGAAGATAACTTATTAACTGACCATGGAACAGGTGGAGTTCCAAAGCCTTAAGTTAATCTGAACTTCTTAGAAGCACGAATACCAGGCACTCACAGGTGCCCTTCTAGCAGTCTATTCCAAGGAGCCATAATACATTAGCACACACATCAGCTGACAAGTTTAATCAATTTTTTTTGGGTGCTCATAAAAAATTGGATTGCTGAAGCGTAATAAAATTCTAAACTTTTTTTTAAGGCAGAAAACCAAGAAACTACAGCAACTGCAAGCTACTTGGACTTCTGCACCAGGTGACCGCGTTAGTTACACCCCGGGGAGCTGCTGCCCTTTCAGAGAGTGAGGCAGGAATGATGTCACCTGTTACTATGAAAATCCAGCAGCGAGTACTAGGCCTTGGCAGGCGCACAATGAGGAAGTGACTCAACTATTGTTCTAAAACCTACTGTGATGTTAGCCTATGTGCATATTATTAAAAATCTGGCACCATCAACTGTTGTATAAGGGGGGGGCCTCCTCTATTTTAAACACGTTGACTGAAACTTCTGGCACAGCAAGTTTAGCAGCTACAGCAATCTGAACACTGAGGTGCTCCGAAACTATCACCAAGGTACTGCGGTCCCTCCCTCGCTCCTTTTCTGGCCTCTAAAATACTCGTCAAGAGACAACAGTAAAGGGCCGGGGAACTGAGCTACAGAATAGTAAATCAGATGACGTAATTTAAGTAGTGGCTGCTGCTGACCATGTGAGTCCCCAAATCAGCGGTAACAGAATATTACCATCTCAATTTCTCACGGTGCTTCCAGCTAACACACCCCACCCACATCAGCAGCTGATCCACCGGTGAATGCAGCTATATCCACTTAATGTAGTTCTACTTTAAAGTGGTACATTTCAAGCTGTAACAAGAAAAATAATTGCAGTTAAGTAGGTATTTTGCTAGAAGAGTACTCTTGTTACAAGACTGTAGTCCAATCAGTTGTGGCAATGCACTTCAACCCTGCACAACAACCGCAGGACACCCAGTCACACTGTCCTGATTCAGGTCATTTCCCCCTCGCACTTTAGGAAAAAACCCACACTTCTGGACTTGCATGGATAAGCCAACTATTTGTCGTTTGTAGATTCTTTACATTAAAGCTATAGACTATTTACTGTACCTTATTATAATCTCTTATATTTATTTGTTCTCCCTTTCACAATAAGGAAGGGGATATGGCCAAGAACATTCACCCCCACAACACCTCCAAAGCAGCGTGGAGTAAGCCCTATTTCCAGACGGGGACCTGAGCAACAAGGAGTAAGTCATTTTGCTAAGATACAAAGTCTTTGGTAGAACTGGAAATGAAATCCAGCCCCCATAGCCCAGACCGAACACCTAATAGCTGACCCAGCCTCCTTCAGCCTCGCACTCAAACCGCTTAGGTAACACGCTGACACCCTGCGCCTTGTCCATCAGGCTCCCTGAGCACGTGACTGCTTCCTAGCATCGTAACAAAGTCCTTGCCTGGAAGAGTGAAGAAATAAAGCAGAAATCAGAATTTATCTTAAAATATTTAGAAAAAAAAAATCTATTTCCATGTTTGATTGTAATTATAGGTAAACAATGGAAATATAGTTTTCTGAAAGCAGTAGACATTGCTTCTGCACTAACCTCTGTCTTGTCAATTGGACACTAATCAATTGTAACAACCACCTCTTTAACTAACAGTTAAATATACCTTGGGAAATTTAAGCTCTCAGAGTGGCTAAATCAATCATATATTCTCTTAAGAAATCAGGTGCTCTGTATCACTCAACTAATCTTTTTAAACACTAGGACACTGAAAATATATCAGAATATGAAGCAACAGAGTAAAAGTATATACCTCCAGTGTTTATCAGCTCCAAATGAAAATTATTTATTCAGGTAGCCTTAATTATAATCACAGTGCCAGTATTTAATTAAGCAAAATGTACGTGATCAATTTTTGGGCCTTAGAAGTTCCTATTTAGTATGCCTCCTGCCAAAAGACATAACAAGTTTAAATTATTTGTTGAAGGCAGCAAAATTTTCCCCAGAATCTTTAAAAACACGTAATTTCTGATCTTATCACTCATGAGACCGTTGAAACGTACAAGTCTAAACAGATCCAGGGACCTGGGTTTTGCTGTACTTCAGCGCAGGAGGACACTATACTTACCACACTTCTGAGAGTTCCTGTTGCAATAGGTCCAGTCCCTCTCCCCACCCTCCCAAAAACCTACATTTCTGGAGTCAAAACCCCCGCAAGAGTTTGCGGAAACATCATAAACGCACTCAGTTTAAAAAAAAAAAAAAACCAAAACAACAAAACCTTCCTTCTTGCCAGGACAGTTATAGACATAGTAGTACCTGAATGTGCTCTCCAGATACTTTTTTTTTTCTTTTTACTTCAAAGGCTTTTCAAACATGTTTAGACAAAAAAAAAAAAAGACAAATTAATGCTCTCCTCTGGTCTTTTAGCTTATGAGGCTTATTTTGGGGCGGTTTTTCTTCTTCTGGCCACCTATTCTCTACTGTGAGTTCTGGAACAATCACCACCTATTAGAGCTTTAAAAACTAAGATTTTATTAAAACCGTCTTTTTTAATTGATTAGTGTATAGCCTGACGGTACACAGACGCGATTTTACTACTACTATAAATAATTCTGATATCTCAGTGCCCAAACTGGATAAAGTCCACCAAACCCAAAATTCAAAAGCTGTAAGTAAACAGAACAACCACCAAACAGCCCACAGGGTCACATCTCTAATTCTGTCTTACAAACACACTAACCTGGAGCAAGTCACCGCACAGCAGCTACGCCCAGGCCGCACGCTGAGCACTTTCAAGCACAAGAACGCCATTCAATTTGTCCTGGGATAAACCCGATACGGCTCGGATGGGGAATACCACCTTCAGTCTTGCACCGCACACCTGTAGATTCTCAGTGCCTGGACATGCCAGCCTGTTTGCAGTTTGCTTACTTCTGTTTCCACAGCTCTATCACTTACAGACCCTGACGCATCAGGTTTTGCAAGTAAAAGGAAAAATCAAGCCCACTCAAGCTATGTTTGGTTCAGGCTTAAAAACTTATCTAAAGCATTTCAACTCCTCTTCAAACTCATCCTTTAAAACACAGATAATTTGCAAGCATTTAATTGTTAATAATGGGACTACACGAGTATTTATCTAGATATAATGAAACTTAGCAGAATATTCCACAATCTTTAAATGAAGAAAAGTTTGACTTTTTAAAAAAACATGGAAGAGTCCTTCAGGGTTTTGGGGCTTTTTTTTTTGTTACTACAGACACAGTCAAGCTGCAGCACAGTGACAGGTAGTATCTTAATTTGCAAGAATACTTCACTTGTGAGCATATAACCCCAGTTCCCTCTTTTGTTTTTGTGAATTGTTAAATAAATACAATTTAATTGCCATTTACGTACTAACCATCGACAGACTATATTAGATAACAAAAAAAAATCACCTGTTTTTAAGTTATGAGGAACCAGATCTCTGAACTTAAGTCTCAGGCCATATTGACTGTCACTCCCATACAAATCCAAAACAAACCAGCCTAGCAACCGTGCAGCAGAAAAGGGGGCAAAGAAGTAAGGATAAAAATAATAACAACAAAAAATCCGAAGCATATTTTGCTTTTAGCCACAGGAAGAAAGAAATCAAAGGAAGCAATGCTGAATTTCCCCAGCACTAAACTTTTGATAGCTTAATACGACCTATAGTCATATTTGCTTTAAAGAGGAAAAGAACCTGAAACGACATCCAGAAGCATTTCTGATTTCTTACTTCAACATCGCACCCAAAAGTGACACAACCGT